TTCTGGCCTGGCCAACGGTTCAACCAAGTCAACCCTCGGCATCGGATGAAGGTACCCGAAATGGTAAACATACAAAAAACTATGGAAAATCACCATTTTTGATGGGAAAACTCACTGTTTTAATGGCCATTTTCAATAATGCCAACACCGGATTAGTTTCTTGACCCCCCCCTTAATAATAAGCAACTCTGAACCATAAACATTTGGATATGGCTTACGTCAATTAGATCTTATCAGAATTCTATTGGATTTGTTTAAATCTCATGGATCAGAAAGGTGGTTGATTAATCAGGGGCAAACCCTGGTTAGTATTAATGGGGGACATGGGCTCATGGGGGGTACCCTTTGGGAGCTATCCAAACTGATGATTTTTATAAATACTTTAATTAGAAATCGATCATTTGGGGAATATTCGTTTTTGAAATTTTCAATGATCAACTTAAACCTTAAGTATAACAATGATGCTCAAAAAAAAGGTGAAAACAAATTGGAAATAAATAGAATTGGAAATAAAACATGTTGGATAAAAAATGGATTTCAGCACTGGTGTTTTTTTAATCGGGGGGTTTTATTAATCTGGGGGGACAACTGTCTTTAAATTACATTTTTTTTTTTGGGGCAGTGGTGGTTGATTAATCGGGAGGGGTTTATTAATCCTCACTTGACATTAGCTATTTTAGCTTACCAGATGGTATCGAGCCAAAATGCCGATCTTGCAGGAAAGACTGATCTGAATTTCGCAAAATTGCAAAATCCAATCAGAAAATAGTTGCTTCGCGGTGTCTAAAAACATGCTGTGAAGTGAAGCTTTCACAAAGTAGTGTCAACATGTGTGAACCACAGTAGTGGTACCTCCATACTGCGTCTTATCCTTGATTGTTTTTTCCTTCATTGAAAGTGTGTTTTGAATTTCGGATCATATTCCATCATAATTCCACTACAGTGATTTTTACTGCAGTATTCTAACATAATTCCAATATCATTCCCAGTGATTTACAATGATAATCTAATGATATTCAATTTTCATATTATCATGAAGATATTCCCATCATATTCCCAATATCATTAGGTTATCCCAATAAAAAAAATATGATGGGCATATTAATGATAATATTATAATGGAAAATGAATATTCCAATAGATTGAGAATATCCCAATAAATCCAGATGTATTCCGAATATAAAAATATCCAGTGATTTTCACGCAGATCCCAGCAGAATCCAACGATGATCCACAAGGAGGCGAGTCCCCATTGGCAAAATCCCACAGAGTTTTTTTTTGGGTTGCGGTTGGACATTTACCAAATCCTGAACCGTCGAAACTTTTATGTTTTATTTACCAAATCTGGATCATTTAGAATAGTGACTATGTCTTATCCGTGATTGTTTTTTGGCAGAAATCCCGTTTTCAATGTTTCAAAGTAGTAAGACATCAACGTACGACCGCCTTCAACTCGTTGGCCGCACGCTTCTGAGCGCGTTCCACGACGTACTGAGAGCGTACCGTTGCTGTGCAATGGGGATTTTCTGATGTTTTTTCCATCGGATGATCAGATTTTGATCGGACATGGTTTGTTAATGAAATGAATTGTATTAAATACGATTGGATTAAAGCGATATATACATATATATATACATTTACATATATATATATACATACATATATATACATATATATACATATATATATACAAATATATACACATACATATATATATAGACATATATATACACATATATCTATCTATCTATCTATCTATCTATATATATATAGAGCAGGTTGATATGTGTCAAGGATGTATCTCCATGTAAAAACATACAAGATTCTTCCAGTATTAAAGTAATCTCAAGTCATTGAAACTTGACCCGTTTTATGTGGATGCGGGAAAAGGGTGAGAATGAGGAGGATGATGATGACAGATGATGACGATGATTGATAAGGAGGACCACAACATCTTTGGCAGTCTGGGAAATGTCTATGGGTCAAATGGAAAACATGCAGCTGAACATTTCAGCTTGTCATGGATTCCTGTTCAATTGTAGGTGCGAAGACTACACTGGCTATCCTGCTTCATACCAAACCATGGATCAATGATCGCAGCGGGTCCTTGATTGAAACCAAAAATATAACTTGTCCATGATTGGATCTACGTTGACAGGATGTCATTTTTTAAATCAACAAGTCTGATATCCATGCAAAGTTGCAGTTTCAATGAATCTCATCACTTGAAATTTCAAATCCAAATTCTGGCGTGACCAGCCTTTTGGTTTTAGGTCACCCATACCCAGCCATTTACATTGGCAAATTGCATGCCCCTGAAGAAATAAAATAAGTTTTTGGCCTGTCGCCCATGTTTTTGGGACTCCTTGGACTTCCCAAATCAGCTGTGTGGCTGAAATCATCCAGGTTCTACATGGAAATCCCATATTTTGATGTGTCAAATTTCATGCTTTAGAACCAGATTTTTTCCCCAATAAAGGAACCCATATCATATTTTCGGGGTAGGTATATGTTTTTTTTTAAAATATTTTGGGACCATATCATATCGTTGTTTTTTCTTAACAGAATCATATCATATATCTCCATCAATATCTCCATGCAATGGTCGATCTTATACAACCACAACAGGTATAATTTGGTTTGAAAAACTTAGCGACTATAGATATTATCCCCATAAACCCTGGTTATTGAGTTTATAATCCAAGTTAACTGGCACAAATCAACTATAAATCTGTGGTCAAAAATGTGGTTATATCCATTCTTTCCCATCAGATTCCCAGTTATTTTCTGTAAATTTTCTTTGTTTCTGTAGTTACCCTGGTAAACATACAAAAAATATGGTAAATAACAATTTTCAATGGGTAAATCAACTGTAAATGGCCATTTTCAATAGCTATGTAGACAGAACCAGAGGGTACTCATATATACTTTTAGTTATTTCCCCATCCAAGCCTATTAAGATCCCAGTAAGACCTTCTTACTATCCATTTATCAATGGGTCATCTGGATCATAAATAGTGTTCCAATTCCATCATACCTACTGTGAATATCCAAGAATATTCACGACTATCCCAGTATTCCACTTTTGGTGTTCAAGCAAATGGATAAGTGGAAGTCTCCATCATAAGTAACCTAAATAATTCCCAATAGTCACCAATTATCAACAGAAATCACCAATAATTCACCAATAATCATCAAACATCACCAATAATCATCAATAATCACCAAATAAACGACTATAATCCCAATCAATAATCACACATAGTTCCCCAATAATCTCCGAAAATAATCAAAAATCATCAAAAATCATCAGAAATCACCAATAATTCACCAATAATCATCAAACATCACCAATAATTCTCAATAGTCCCTAATAATCACCAAATAATTAACCAATAATCATCAATAATTCCCAATAATGCCCAATAATCAATATTCATCAACAATCACCAATAATTCCCAATAATCATCAATAATAACCAAATAATTCCCAATAATCCTAACCTTCATCGCTGCTGGGCACCCAACGCTGTGGCTGCGCGCTTCCTCCCGCAAGCGCATCACGTCCTGGTGGGCTCGGTGAACAAAGATGGCAGGGATGGGATGTTAACGGGATTTAACAGGGGGCTTGATAAGATTTAATGGGATGTAATGGGATTTAATTGGGATTTAGTAGGTTTAACACCAAGCAAAAGTAGAAGAATGGGATAATTCATGCGTATTCTGGGATTTAATTGGGATTTAATGGGACTTTGCTGGGGATTATTGGGTATTATAATGGGACTTAGTGGATAATTGGTGACTTATTGGAAAATTCCCAGTCCAATAGGATACTTCTATGGGAGTTATTGGGATGGAGAAGTGGGACTGGGACTTTTTCGGATGGAGAATTCCACTTATCCATTGAAGAGGTTTAACACCAAACAAAAATGACAAACATGGGATGAGTCTTGGATATTGATGCTAGGTATGATGGGATTAGAGAGGTTTATCGACATCTGGTTTTCAGCAACAAGCAACAAACATCGTGGTACAATGGGGTATTATGAAGATGTAATGGAGATAGATCTGGATATGTATGTATGTATGTATGTATCTATGTATCTATGTATCTATGTATCCATGCGTGCATGCATGCATGTATGTATACTATATCTTAGTTATATATTTACATTCATGGTGATATAGCCAGCAAAAATGGTGATATCATGATCGGGATATATATATATATTCGGTATATCATGGAGGTATATATATGTATATATATATGTAATCAATCTAGCCAACATGAAGGGGGGTTGAAAGCAACAAGGATATACTCATAACGTGGTTACAAAAAAGGTAACTGGTGATTGCTAGACGTATCCATGGCAAAACATAGCGGAACCATTATATATATATATGTGTGTATGTCTGTGTGTACCTGACATTCGCCACTTGGCTTTTCCAGACATGCCCCAAATACCCGCAGAAACTTGTTGGTGATATTTCGCGTAATAACCACAATATTTTTGATGGTTGACATGTAAACCTTTCATCAGCAAGCAAAATCAATGTGTTTCCAAGGTATTAACCATCAAATTCTTGGATTTGCCTAAGAGACCTCCAAAAAACATATCCTTCATAGATTCCCCCTGTCATGGTGTATATTCTCCATCCAAAATTAGAAAATCAACTGAAACACACTCAGCATCTACACCCACAAACATTGCAATCGAATTTCTTTCACGGGGATGGTCGTGGAATCCAAATCCCAAAGACGACCTTCGTTCTCAAGGAAGGTCATGATTTTCAGCACCATAATTTGGGTCTTGAAAAGATGGAACACACTCAAGTTATGGCATTTTACCCAGGCTGCTGCAACATTTATTGAAACTGTTGTCCTGCAAGGTGGTTCCCCCCAGTTACACGTTGAAAAGGCCCACGAAGGGTCACTAACAATAGATCCTATCCTAAACCGTAGCAATCTTCGTTATCTTCACCAACTCAGCGATTCCAAACTGGGACACCACCTTTAAAATCCGAACCCAAAGTGCAAACCATTATCTTCTTCTGACACATCTCTCTTCGGCCAAAACTGACTCGAAATGTAAGCCGGAGATGCTGTCAAAAGACGGATTCCTTTTAGCAAGATCGGATGGAGTCCAATCGGAAATGGAACGTATTCCAACATTTTTGTACCGTGGAAGTACATTTACAAATCAGCAAAAGTTGAGAATGTCCTCGTCGACCAAATGTAAAAGCTTGTGTTTGCACACATTGGCTCGATCTTGATTGGAGTTGAGGGTTTCAACATTTGGTCCATCTGAAGCGCTCGAACTCCAAACACGTTAATAATCAGACATCCTCTTTGGTGGACATGTAGATATTCATCACAGACCTCAGATAAGGATACCTTCTTCTGAGGCAATCCTTATTTCTGCACGGATCGCGCTTTCTCTGCAATTCGCGCAGGTCATTCCATTGTAGTCCGCGGTATCCACCTCAAAAGGTTTTCAAACCAGTACTTCTTTCCAAACCACCAACCAGTATTAACACCCCATTAACGCCAAAAAATCCCATGTACCCAGTCCCGCATGGACTCGCGCAAGTCGTGTCGCACCGTCTTCAACTCGCCCTTGGCCTGGCAGATGAGAATCTAGAATTGATACCCTCTGGTCATTTTACCTATCTAAAATGGGGATTCCTATCTAAAAATGGTTCATTATTGGATTATTATAATCCCTAATATGGTTTCATCGGGATGATCATGGGAGAAGTATGGCATATTAATGGTATATTAATGGATATTACCCTCTGGTAATTTAGGGGATGTTAATGGGTTTACTATGGTTTAATATGTTTGTTTTTTAATATAGGGATGATAATGCGATGACAATGGGATGGTGATGGGATAATACGGGGATATTAATGGATACACCCTCTGGTAATGTGTTACAGGTTGCTATTGAAAATTGCAATAGAAATAGTTGATTTACCATAAAACATGGTCATTTTCCATAGTTCTTTGGCATGTTTACCAGAAGGTAATAGGGCAATAGAATGGGACAATCATGCGAAATCATTTCCTATGGGATATGGTGTATAGTAGATTTCCTATGGAGATATAAAGACAATTTTTGAATGGGAAGTAATGCATATATATGGAGATATGATATAACGGGGGTTATTCGACATCCTAGGAAAGAGGATATAATAATGATGAGAATATACAACGGATATTTCCTATCATGGGGCAATCAACATCATAGGAAATCATGGAGATATATGGAGATATAGATGTATATTGTAGATTTCCGATGGTATGGAAAAAAGCGCGTGTAAGCTATAGATGTCAAAATTTCCTAAGGTATGATAAATGGTGAAATATTGGGGTAAATTATGGAGATACAATGTGATACCATGGGGGTATCTAAACAAAAATGGTGATTCATGGTGATGAGTGACTGGTGAAAAAAGGGAGGTATAATAATAACCGTGGGGTATAGTAGAAGGTTATAGTCAGATATCATCGAGTAAGACAAAAAAAGCAATAGGAAACGGTGGTAACGTTCATAGTAGGGTACAATGCGGCATAATGCAGTAAAAAAACAAACTGTACCCTTCTGGTGTTTTAACAGGTTGCTATTGAAAAGGGGTCATTTACAGTTGATTTAGTTATTAAAAGATTGTAATTTCCCACGCGCTATACTTATTGGTGGCCGATGACTGGTATACCATATATGATTCTAAAGCAATGAAACTCTTTTCGGTCGGGGTGCTCCACCAAACAAAAATCTAGCGTGGATGCATTCAGGCCATTATTACAGCCAAAAAAATATCAGCGCATGTTCAATCTGCAATGATTTTGGTCTGTTTCCTAGCAGGACTCCACACCCAATCTTATCATTTCACCATGTGAAATAGCACAAGAAAGTAGGTCCGATGGTCGTACTGCTGCTTGGTCTTGCCAGATTCAAGTGGTACTTTTTGGCATCGGCAGCATTCCTGACGGTTGGCAAGGACATTGTTCTCATACATCTTGCATGGGTAGAAGTGTTGATCCTCTCACTCGTACCCTTGGACAGTATGACATACTTGCGTGGGCTTACTCACTGCCAGTATTCACTTTCTCCTCTGTGAACCTGTTGAAAGAGATACACCGTTGCTCCATCCCAACCTTGGAATGAGAAGATCACATACTCATCTGCACTGCAGCCAGATGGCGAGTGGCAGAAGTCATGGTTCAGCGTACGTGAACGGATCCTGCGCCGATCTATTGGCATTTAAAAAGGCATTTTCCAGCCAACCACGTTTGATGTCACGGAAGGTAAACCCATCAATTGTCCAATAGTATCGCATTAATATCCCATTAATTCCCGATTACACCGGGTAAACCATATATAAGCCCATATTAAATCATGCTTACCGGAGGGTCAATGACGGTCAATGCTGCCCATCTTTCAACTTGCTTCGCCCAGCATGGCCTGCTGCATTGCGGTGCGGAACGCGTCGCCTGCGACGTGGACGTGGAGACGTGGACGGTCGTGCGGAAGGCTCGGTCGGTTGTGAGATGGGATTTGGAGGTTTCCAGAGTCACGGGGGTACCCCAAAAACGCTGGATGGTTTACAAGGGAAAATCCATAAATGGTTTAAATGGTGGTACCCAAATGGTTGGTTTATAGTTGAAAATCATATGAAAATGCATGATTCAGGGGTAGCCCTCTTTAAGGAAACCTCCATTGCACCATGTTCCACTGATATGATGGAAGCCACATGGAACCACTATAAATGATATCCATTTTTCATCATATGTTTGTTATTTTAAAAAATAGGATGGGAGTTTTTTTGAGGAGATTGGGTGTTTTCACAATCGAGTGTTTTCGTTGGATTTCAATATGATTTTGACTGTCTACTTTTTAATGGCTGAAACAAGGGACTTATTTAACCACCGATGGATATACATGCGATGATTATGATGATGAGATATCAATGGTATGATCTTGGGCCAAAATGATCAATTTTGGGATTGGCTAAAACATATAGGAACCATAGATTTCCCCACAAATGTAAGTTTTTCCCGGAAGTTTCGCCATAAACCAATTTTCGGGAATTGATTCACAGCAGTATTTTTCACTGTGAACTTCCTGTATTGTGAGGAGGTTTTCCCGTGGCGATTCGACGATCTTGTTTCTATTCCTCCATGGCAGGGTCATGTTACCCATCAACAGTTCGACAGTTTAGAGCAAAACCAGGGTAACCCATGTGAATTCGCCATAATGTGGTTAAAACAATAATGAACCATTCCCCAAATCACCATAAATAGGAGGTATAAACCACAACCAAATGGGTGGTTTATTTTTGTTTTAACCTCATTAGTTTTATTGATTGTTTCAATTTTGTACGTGAACCCTGGGGCAACCCATCCACACAATCTATCGTTCTTTGAGTCTCCCCATGGTTTAACCAACCCCAAGGTATTATCATTATTCTTCACTGAAAGATCAAATGGACGTGTCTGAGCATGACCATCCAATTATGGACCTATTTTCAGATAAATCTAATTGGAACACCGGTTCGCAAATTTCTGAAAAAATGCTGGCGAATGACTGGCCAATAACTCCTGGTTATTTGACAGGGATTTCCAGCAAATAAATTCTGCTAATCTCCATTGTGTTGGGTAGTTAAAAAACACACACACAGGACTGGTTTTAAGACGTGGAGCTGGTTCCAAATTCGCCGCAGTTCCTCGAAGACCAAGCCGAGGTTGCACCAGTAACAACCAACGCAGTCGAAGCATGATGACTGTCTGTGCAAATGTGAAAATTAATAAATCTATATGCATGGTAAAGTATGGGTTTGTGACCACCAGCTGTGACCACTGCGCCCAGGTGCATCACTGGCAGGTACGTTTGCACGACAAACTGGAAGGGTCTTCGTTGGCCCAAGCCTTCCAGAATGTCCTTGGGCAGACAAAATTACGCTGTGAATTGTTGTTCAGCACCTGCGAGAAGAAAAATCCACCAAATGAATCTTTCGACGCCAATTGGCGCAAACTACGTGCTCGAGACCAATCCCACACCTTTAGCGGTGTTCGCAAGGACCCAAACACATATTCATCGGTGATCTTCGCAGCAAGATTCACAAAGATGTTAGTGTGTTGAGGATCAGCTGTCAAATTAAATCGATCAGAATCTCCTTCGAAGAAGTCTTGCTGCAACTGCCCAAGCCCGATTTCTGGCTTACCGAAAGCCCTTGCTCTCAGCTAATGCGAGATCTTCGCGCCATGGGTGATAGGGGCCCGGCGGTAGCGCCCAGACCGGGTTTTCATCCACCCCTTTTAAGTTGGGCATTGGCATCTTGTGCTTGGCATCTTGTGCTTGTACATGCACACACGCTAATCATCAACCAGTCATTTGACAGTTTTATCCCCATATGTTTGATGGTCAAAAGTCAAAACCCCCCAAAAAAGATAATGAATGTCCCATGTTTGATAGTTAATCATCAACCAACAGGGGTTTGGTCACCTCTCATGTGGACATATCCCCAGTATACCACCACGATATCCCGTCATACCGCCATTTTTGTTCATTAAATTCATTTATTTTGGTGAACTCCCCATGATTCCCATCATATCCAATACTTATGGTGGTTTCAACCCCCCTGAAAAATATTAGTCAGATTGGATCATCATCCCAACTATTGGGGAAAATAAAAATGTTCCAAACCACCAACCAGAATATGAATCTCAACCAATATCCATTCATATCCGTGAATCTCCTCTTGAATCATCTTGAAATCCCAGCTAAAATTCCATCAAAAACCGCACGAATCGCAGCATCTGTAACTATATGTATATCTATATTTATATAAATAGTATGAAAATATAGGTTGCATAAGTCACCCAAAAATCCGTCTTCCTGCTGCCGAAATCCAAGCATTTCACCCTAGTCCCAGGTCGCCTGCGGCACGTTCGGACTGAAGGGCCTGGATCTCCTTGAGCAACGTGCCTTCGCGGAGGCGGTACCTGAATTGCCATGGATTTTTTTTTGGGGGGGGTGAAACCGTGAATCTCTGGTTTTACTCCGATCAAATATTCATATGTAAACATGTAAAACATATGTATATATAAATGTAAGAATGATGAGTGAGGCATCCTCTCTAATTAGGATTATTTGGGCGCGTCTTCGTTTGTAAGTGAGGACATCCCGACGTCTTGCTTTCGAATCCGTGGGCCCTTTCGGTCTTTAACTTGGAGGAATAGCTGGGAAGCCGTAGTTGCCTATTGTTTCAGGTTACTTTGGCTAGTCATGTGGATAAAACAATAATGAAACAACACCCATTTGGGAATGGATTATACCCCCAATTGTGGTGATTTGGGGGATGGTTTATTCTTGTTTTACCCAAAGTAACCCATTTTTGTGTCTCTTTGCAATTCTTACACACAAAAACAACATTTCATCTTTAAAACATCATCATAATACACAGTGATCCAGCATCGTAACATTGTGAAAGGTTAATGGTTAGATACCCTATTATCATCATAATATGTCATAATCAAATCCTGAAAAGGACGCATCGTTTTTTAACTTGCCCTATCGTTTTTCACGCCAAGTCCCAAACATTACATCTACAATGATCATTTTATACATTCATACTCCGACAATTTAGATCCCGGCTCACATATGTATATATATATAAATAGAAAAATCATAGTTGGTAAATGTGTTTGGTTACTATATATATATATAAATATAAAAAGATAATATATATATATATGCATCATAATCGACTGCAGGCTACTTGGAAAACATACAATGCATGACGAATATGGGCAGATCAGGCCACCAAAACCAACCCTATGATGAATGGGCTACCTATAACGATTTCATCGTCAGCCTTGCTCTTCTTACTGCCCTTGCTCTTCGGCACTGGCTTCTTTTCCGATTCCTCTGCTTCGGCCGGGTTTTGGCAAGCTTCGGGCCGGAAGAATGTACTTCCTTCCCGTTTCATCTCTGCCACAATATAGTCTGTGAGTTGGAGTTCGAGCTTCCTGCCGTGCGTCTCGCTCAAAGTCAAGCCGAAGTACGGCAAGCGCTCTGCCAGGCACGCCTTGGCCGCTGTGCCTTGGCCAGCCGCCAGGTCGAACCACATCCCCTGCGCGGAATGCCCCCGCAAGAGGTCGCGGTAGAATTCACATTCTCATACAAGATTGTCCTTTAATATCCTTTAGACATAAGCACCAAGAGTCTTTGGGCAAAAACAACAAAATAGGGGGATCCATCCAAAAACACATCAAGTCCAATGGACAATTCCGCAATTTGTGGATGGTCTAGCTGTCAAGCTTAGAGGCCATCTACTAGTCTTGCCACTTGATCCACCAGCTGTACGGCAGAAAATGAATAATGATGGTGCTTTTGGACCACAAGCACCTACCGGTTATAGGATTATAACACCAACGCTGTTGATGCAATGGTTTGCCCATCGTTGAACCAGATTTCCACATAATTCCTTGACGCATGGTCACCTGGTGATATTCTCCTCCAAGTCAGCAACGCGAGTGGTAAGACCTCAGTGTCATGTATTAATGCCAACGTTTGACATGGCTCACACAATTCAAATTGGGTCTTTGCCGCGCCAACCTTGGTGAAAACCATGGCTCAAACCACAATCCAACCATTGGTTGGGTGGCAAAATCCAAGCACTGACTTGTGAAAGTCGGTTTGGATGATCATTCCATTTCTAGGGTTGAAGGTAAAACATGTTTGAACCACCGGCTGGCGATGTCAATTTGCAACTTGAAATTCGAATCAGACCGCGTTTGTCCATGCGCGCTCCCAAGGCATTGTGTTGGTACACATGTGGATAGGAGTCCATTAAGAAACAACCACACTTTCATGTGTTCGTGGGGCTTAGGTGTTTCAGGCCCGGGTTTGGCCGGGTTCGCGGGCCAACCATCTCGGACTGGAGGTCTTCGTAGGTGCGCGCCTGGCTGCTTTACTGTTGATTTTTATCTCAAAACTTCACAATTTTCGGTGAGGCCGCTATTGCACCCGACCATTCACCATTTGCTATGTGTTTGAACTTTTGGTGGTTATCTCAAGTATGGCTAAGCCCATGTGAAGCCCAGTCGCCGAAAATCTCACTGCCATCCTATTATCCCTTTGCCACCATTAAGCCAACGGGGGGTCTTTCGCGCGCCTTCTCTTGCGTCTTCTCGGCTTGCGCCTCAAAGAGGCCTGTGACCTGTACTCCAAAGATGTGGACGGAGAAACAATCCCAACAAAAAATATCGCTCGGTGGTTGCGACTCAATTTAATCGCATCCCCAACAATCGGTGGACATATTGAAAGTTATCCTTGGGCAAAGCGCCTTGCTCATTGCAAACCTTAAGATGCTGAACCGCCGCCCAGTCCAGTGATGCTCATGGTGTGAATGAAAGCGAGTTTGGGGAGCTCATGATGGTTGTCATGCTCTTGCTTTCTTGGGAGTTCGCGGCTTTAATGCAGTGCCCAGAACATGGAAGAAAGAGCAGGTGCACAGCAGTCATGCGTATCGTGTTCGCAAGCTGGAACTGACAAACATGTCATGCAAAGACCAGTCCCCACCAGCTGGTGGTATGCCCAGACAAACATCATGCGGCCTCATAGAATCTCTGCGTATCCAATGCCGTGCAGTTCAAGGTTAGACAGAAATAACTATTTCCCATCACCAAAAAATAGATGGGTAGCGCCATCAGAAATTGGGGCTACACATACCAGAAATCCACAAATTAGCCCACTTGATGGGACTATTTGACAAATGAAGGAACAAACATCTCAAAATACCGTAAACCTTTGTTTACACATGTACATATATACAGGATATCTACATGTGCGAATATTTGTAGGTCACACTTTTTCAATCAAACACTGGGGCGAAACAAGGAACACCATGATCAACACGGTAAATCATCGGAAAACGGTTGGTGGGTTTTTAGTTCCATCAACCGCTTTTTTGTTTCCTATATACATATCATATACTGGTTGGTGGTGCAATAACCATCTTGAAAAATATGAAAGTCAATGGGATGATGATCCTTTTTTTAAGGGAAAATAAAATAAATGTTCCAAACCACCAACCAGTATATCTCATTAACCATTATTAACCACCGTTATCCACCATTAACCACTATAATGAATCCATTAATATCTCGTTGGTTAATGGTGTTTTTCTATTTTACTCGAACATACTTCGGATTTATATTTTGTTTTTGAAAAATCGAATCCCGTGACCCCTTTTTTACATAGCAGTTTTTGGATCCCAAACTAAGTACCCTCTGGTTATGTCAGCATAGCTATTGACAATTGCCATTTTTAGTGAGTTTTCCCATGAAAAAAGGTGATTTTCCATAGTTATGTTAGTTTACCAGAGGGTAGATGCAATACCAAATCAGCGTTGGTGTTACTTGTGATGGGAGTCCTATGAGATTACTACAATTCACAGATCCACATTTGCAAACATGGAGGGCTTCCTAAGAAACCACTGCATGTCAGTTGCCTCCCCCCAAACCCCCCAAACCCCGCAAACCCCCCAAAAAAACCTAGTCACTTCCGACATCGGACAGCCGCCCAATGATAAATAATGAGCTGTAGTCATGATCCTGGACCTGTTTTCATGTGATCAAAACCCTCAGTTTTCGGTAGACATCGTCTTCCGCAAAACTACTGACATGTACCCTCCGGTAAACTAACATAGCTATGGACAATAGCCCATTTATAGATGGTTTATCTATTAAAAATGGTGATTTTCCATAGTTTTTTGTATGTTTACCAGAGGGTAACCTGCGATGTTTGATGCAAGCAATTTCGCCACCAGGTGGGACCAATCATCTGCGTAAAAGGGTACCTGAAATTTGCCGCCAGTCCATCAGGTGCTGAATTCATCACCGCTTTAAAAAAGCATGCCACGATTCGTGTGGACTTGCGAACGTCAAACGTCCTCATCTTTCTGGATCAAGCAGAAAATTCATCAAATCCCATCACTACAATCCCAGATTATGCCGGGATGAAGAAAGGTTTGACAAACACCCATCACTTGGGGGTCATGACCTCTTGAGGATCAACACCCAAAAAGTCGAATGCCACTGGATGACAATCGCAGGTAAGACATGACCATGTGAGGCCTGACACTTTTGTTTTGGCATATTTTGGCTTTGTCTACAAAGAATGTCAACGCAGGATTTTCATAAACCTGTCGGCGAATAGGGATTTCCACAATAATTTCTGGTTGGTGGTTTCAACTCCTCTGAAAAAAGTCGGTCAATTGGGAGTATTATTCCCATTATTCCCACTTATGGAAAAAACATGTTCCAAACCACCAACCAGCTGGGAAGATGGGGACCTCCACCGTTTTTCCTTGTGAAAGGTTCAGACATTCCATCAATGGGAGATCTCCAGGATCCTAAAATGGAGGTACGTTAGTACCATATTCTTGGCCATATTTTGCTGGGATATTCCCGCAAACATAGGCCTTAAAAAAGGGCCAAAAATATATGGAATCGGTACCTCCAATGGCTCTCGGTTCCAGTTAAATTCCCATTGATTATATAATATACCAATGATTAACCATCATTAACCATTATTAACCACTATTAACCATAGGAAAACCATAGGAACACCATAGGAACACCATAGGAAAACCATAGGAAAACCATAGGAAAACCATAGGAACCATAGGAAAACCATAGGAACACCATAGGAAAACCATAGGAAAACCATAGGAACACCATAGGAAAACCATAAAACCATAGGAAAACCATAGGAAAACCATAGGAAAACCATAGGAAAACCATAGGAAAACCATAGGAAAACCATAGGAAAACCATAGGAAAACCAGGAAAACCATAGGAAAACCATAGGAAAACCATAGGAAAACCATAGGAAAACCACAGGAAAACCATAGGAAAACCATAGGAAAAACCATAGGAAAACCATAGGAAAACCATAGGAAAACCATAGGAAAACCATAGGAAACCATAGG